ATAGAAATTCACAATTAATACCACTTGAGCCTATCATTTTTGAATAATGCCGCGCACTTTCTCAATTTTGATCAAACCGAGGGCTTCAACAATATAAATGTCTTGAGTTTAGTTTCCTTGAGTTGTGACTTTGAGTTTGTCAAACATATGATTAAGACTCCTCTTATCAACCAAAGTCACTTTTCAATGATTTGACCCTCCACATCAACATGACCCTCATAGCTTGATTAGTACCTCAACTAAATATAAGTACTTTCCTCTTCACCGTAGCTAGGTTCTTCAGCCGCCAAGCCGTCTCTTGCCCTTCACATTTGCTTAGTACCTCGAAGCCTTTCCTTACTATCTTCACCATCTTAAGCCATCAAGCACTACTACACTCGCACCTTTCACAGCCGCGTCGTAACCCACATTGTGGTCCAATTTTGGCCTCGGCAGTAAGCTGTCGGCAGTGATGGTCATAGCCTTCACCGTCGCTATTTGAGACCGTCTATGGTGTACACTCACACCGCCGTATTGGCTTATGATCCGTCTATGATAAGGTCCTTACTTCCGTCGTATTAGAGCACAACCCGGCTGTGTGGGTATAGACTAACACCGCCGTATTAGCTTATGATCCGTCCGTGATCAGTTCCTTGTTTCCATCACATCAGAGCATGACCCGCCTATGTGGGTGTACACTCACACCGCCGTGTTGGCTTATGATACGTCCGTGATCAGGTCGTTGTTTCCATTGCATTGTACCACAACCCGCCTGTGTGGAGGACATCATCACCGCCGCTCTAATGTATTACCCATCTGTGTGAATGGCATTACCACCGTCGCCTTATAGTATGATCCGACCATTATGAGGATGTACTCGGTGTCGGTTTACTAATCGAGACGGCGGTGATGATTTTGTGATCTCGCCGCATCATAGGTTGGACCAGCATAGTTGCTGATGGCTTCCGCCACCGGGTAATGGTACAATGCGATGGTGATGAGGCTTTCATCACAGTCGCATAGTCGCATGATGCGCTGGTGTTGACAACACAAGAATGGCGGCTCAATACAAAATGGAGACCGTTACAAAATGGTACTGTATCCGGTATTGACAATAATTGTTAATTAAGATGGACCATAATAGCTACATGACACGGCATGCAGATAGATTTGTCAAATCCATACAATACGTTCACATACAAGAGTACTTTTGACAATAGACGATAAGCTGACAGTAGTAGCTAGGATATAGAGATGCAGGATTTAAACTATTGTTGATAATTAACACACCGCGTGGTCTCCATGTATGGCCCCATCGAAGATAAAAGTAGCCAGACATTCTTGAAATGCAAACATGTCTCGAGTGGTCAACTCCCTTGTATCCGATAGCAGCACAGACTACAAGAAGGCAGCGTTGTAGTAATATAACATGAAGCGCATTGTTCAATTTAATCAGTAGAGATTTGTGTGTTGGTATAATAAGAACATGTTCGTGTTTCATGGCTTTGATGATCCCATCCATGTAATGCATTACATAGAACGCACTAAAATCTCTACCACCAGGACATTGCTTTGCGATCGTATCGACCTCCGTTACTTTGAACCCATCGTTCCAGGAAAGAACATTGAATTTGCTCTTCTTTTTGTACTTGTCGTAAGCTCTGTCATCATCCAGCAGAAAGATCATTGTGATGAACAAAAAAATTGTTACACATATAAATGATGAGATCTACGAAACCACGTTGTAAAATGCATGGAACGAGAGCTGTACTTATTCAACATTTTTTGAAGGGTTTGATATGGTTCATTCCCACCCTGCTTATATCATACACAAAGATCTTGGAATGGAGCATGTCTACAGCAACAAGGCAAGTATTTTCGCTGCAATAAAGAAAATCAGATGCAGATTAGAGTCCCACCTGGTACACGTAATTATGTAAATGAATTACTCGCTTACCCGTCGTTGTATGGCAGGAGAATTAGTGATTTATCATCCTAGGCCAAAATGGAGGCGCACGTAGCGTCTGTTGTTGTTGTGAAGCCCACTATGCAGGAATTAAAGGTCACCGGGTTGAAGAAGCCTATTGCAATGTTTTCGTCCTTGCATGTATTTGCCTCCATCCTACCGACAAAAGAAAAAAGTTAAATTTGATAGATGCAATGATCCAATAATTAAATGTACACACATGGGGCAGAAGCTCACATACATGGTCGACAAGGACAAGATTTGGACATCCAGAGGGAAAAATTGTAAAAATCAAACAATTCCTTGAACTTCACCCATAGTACCGCGTCCTCTCCATCATAGAAATGTTTGTCCTGGTATCTTGCACCAATCTGGAACCCCTTTTGGTTTAAGTACCACTCATTCAGAGCTTTCATTTTTGTTAGCAATTTGCGGACCCGATTCGCATGCACTAGAGATTGACCTAACTTAAACTGCCACTGCTGGTTTTGTTTTGTGCCCGTCTGCTCTGTCTTTGTTGTTTTCTTGGATTGGTTTTGTTTTGTGCCTGCCTGCTCCGTCTCTGTTGTTTTCTTGGAGGGACAAAGCAAGTTCTTTTGATTGCTATATGTGGCAGTTTCCTTCTCCGATGCACTAATCTTCCGAATCTTATGGGGTCGCTCGCGAGTTTAGAAATTGGTGGCAGTGCAGGTGTAGGCATTGGATTGGTAAGATCGACATCTTTGTCGGAACTGCCATCCGACATTGTGGAAACAAGGACTATGTTACGCTTCCGCCGCGGCACCAAGGACTCCAGGTTGGCCGCTAGTGTCGATCTATCATCGTCCATGGTCATTTCCATCTCAACTGTGCCATACATTTCTTTGGCCAATGTATCTAGGGTAACTACTGCATAGCCTGGAGGCAACGGATGTCCATTTACTATATTCCCTGGATGAACCTGACCGACAACTACCTTGTGCCTAAATACGGCCTTGCATCCTTGTGACTCCACGTATAGCATGCAATATGTAGGTTCGCTGATGTGATCCACGTCGAAGGTGGAATCTGCATCTACTTGTGGAAGTTGTGTGCTTCCGCAGCTACTGCATACCCGTTTTGAGCTGAAGTTTCCCCGAGAAACTTGTTCTGCTTTCTATTTGAGCCTGGTATGTGGCAGTCAATGCCGCCTCCTTTTCTTTCTATTTGGCCTCGAACATAGCTGACAATTCTTCACGCACACTCGCAATTTTTCTGGCATTATTCCTCCATGACTTCTGTGTGTGGATTTGTCATTTTCGAAGGCAATCTGCCATGGAACCAGTCCTACACCTCCAGCCTGACCAGGATGCTCTTTCGTCCCTAGTGCCCGACTCAAGACGTCATCCTCCCTTTTAGGACAAAAGTACCATTTGCCACTTGAGCCTGTAGTGGTTGTATCCTCTCAGCGAGTTGCCGGACTGCATCGTTGGGAAAACTTAGGGAGTCATCATCGTTGTAGGTCATCTTTCTTGCAAGAAGATACCTCAACGAGCGGACATCCCAGCCTATAGTCTGCGGTGTAACACCTTTTTGGACTAGCTCTTATAACTTCTTCTCCCACTCAGGAACTTTCTTCGCGTAACCCCAAGAACCAGTGCGGTGGGGGTTATCATTTCTATGAGAGTTGAGGGTATTTACTTTGCTAATGGCAAGAGCTTCCTCTGATTTCTTCCAACTGACAAAAGCTTCCCAATATGCTTGCTGAGTAGGGTGCTCACCTTTTTGCCAATCTGGCTCCGTTCTATTTAACACATGTTTTTTGTGCAACTCATGCTTGAAATACCTCCATTTCTTTCCCATGCAGCGCAATGCCTGTTTCATCACAATTCCTGTATCGGTGGGGTGCAAGTCGAATTCAAACAATTTCACCATTTGCTCCCAACATTTCTGCTTGATTTCGTCAGTAACACACCAATCCTCTTGACCTTTCCTCTTTTTCCAGTACCTGAATTTGATTGGGACATGTTTTCTCACAATCGCACCCTAGGAGTTGTGGTACGGCGCAATCACCGTGTCTGGTTCCTTGGGTTCTCCAACGCAATCGAAGTGCTCGATGACAAATCGGTGAGTGCGCAGCCTGTAGCCACGTCGCTTCATCCTCTGTTTAACTGATGTGTTTGTTATAGGTTCCTCTGCGCCAGTATCCTACACATTGACTGTAACGTTGCAATTATTAGCAGTAGCCATTATGTATATCGACGATGTAATGAGTCATGAGTAATTACCTCCCCAATTCCTTCGAGGTTTAGAAATGTCGAAGGTGAAACTGGGCAAATGTCGTCGTCTCCACCTTGAACTTCAATTTGCAGATTCTACTCTGGAGCCCGCAGTACTAATGTTCGGTACCGCATCAATACCATTGGTGCTGCAGATACCAATTCATAGGCGTACATTGTTAGTGCAGGCTAATAACGTGTGCTAAATGGAATCCCAGAAAACTATTGTTTTGGTTCATTTTGGATCAAAGGCATTTACATGGATTTACTGATATCTTAATGAAGCCTAAGATCCAGAGGTGGGGTTACCAGCTTTCAATTGAGACCAGAAAACGCATCTAACAACCGTCCATCACAAAGACAACGACTAAAGCAAAAAAGCTGTAACAATCTTTCAACTAATCAGAACCACTTGATCGCTAAAAAACAAAATAAAAAACCCTAATCCGCTGAGGCGAAACACAGACTACATTGCAGCAGCAGCTATAGCTGAAAGTGGGCTGATAATTTCTTCCACCCGGGGCTCTTCAGCTTGAATCGGTTCATTCCAATTTGGAAAATAATGAATGGAAAGTAAGGAATCCGAAGTAAGAACAAAGGAGTGGAAACTATTGAATCTCATTTCCAACTTAAATAATTCGCAATCCGCATTCGTAAATATCGAATCAGGAGCATAGAATCGAAGTACGGAAGCATGTGCACCTCCCACGCTAGGGTGGGTCGATGGCGTGTTTGCGTCCATTTCGATGGCGCTACTGCGGCTGTGTGGGTGACAGATGCGGCAGGCTGTGGAGGTATGAATCCGTTTGTGGTCCTCGATGGCGATGCCAACACTCAACTGTGAGTGGCCATCGCCGACTGCTTACGGTGTGGTAAGGGAAAGGAGAGGGAAACTGTGTTTTGGCTGGGCGCCGCCACCATGGGAGGACGGAGTGTGGAAGGGGATAAGAATGGGGTGCGTGGAGATAACGCAGGGGACAGGCAAACCCTAGAAAAGGGATCCTATGACCGTCGGAGCTTTCACGCAGTCCACAACACTGTTCGCATATTGACTTTTGTGACACCGTTTTCCATTGTAAACTGCGCATTAATTGCACAGTTCGATAACTACGGCACAACGTATCACAGAGAGAAGCAACAGTGTTGCACCGGAACATACTCATCATTAAGCGGACGAAGTCGGGAGGTGCGGCCGCTTAATTGGATGTGCATTTGTCCGATCCGGCGTACACAGTAAAACAACATAATGCCTACATTAACATGTACATTTACAACATAACTTAGTAGCGACGATTGAAGTGTGGTCATTGGTACGTTTCTTGGATCACTTGGATGGCTGAGTCCATGGCAGTAGTGTCGATGCCAACCACGTCCCGCGGCAGGAGCTGCATCCATTCCCTATGCCAGGCAATGGCCTCCTCCTTCGTCGGGTCGTCGTGCATCAACCAGCGGTATAGCCCGTCAACACAATTCTTCATGAAGTCGCTCAGGGCCTGGTTCAACGACTGCAGGGACAAACAGGCGTCCACCTGGTGATCAACCCGTGGAACACGTCGTATTCCGGATGCGGCGGGATGACAACCACGCTCCGGAACCGGGATGCCAAGTACAGTACAATGAGCTTGTCGGCGAACTCCTTCCACCAATCCAACGGACCGAATGTGTGCTCATAGCTTAAGACCATATTGTTGTCGCAATCATCCAAGAAGAGTCACCTGCATAGGGCACCCTGCCAACTGGCGAGTGCACACTGTTCCACTGTTCCATGGTGAATGTACCAGCTCTAGTTTTGGCTGATGGAACAGTGGTGCACTCGCCAGTTGTTCTCTCAAATGCCACTCCATACAAAACATTTGTGGTAAGGAAAACTCATAAATATGTAATATTGCAAAGATGTACTAGCTCTAGTTTTGCTAGCATAACTAAGCAAATATTTTTTTTATACTGATATGTGGTTTCTCTTGCAGGATCTAGTACCTTCTAGTGTTCTTCCGGAGGACTTCCTCTGTGCAATTAAGGCAGCAGATTACAGCTCTGTAAGAACTTGTGTACAAGCATATTTCAGTACTATAATAATGGTGTTTTCTTTTCAACCAAAGAAATTGCACCTAACAAATAGTCACTGAGTTGAAAAGCACCGTCATAACTATTTACACCAACATGCCTGTCTGTGGCATCTGTGAATGGGAAAACATTTTTTAAAATGGAATGGGAAAGCATTATAAAACTTGAAACTTAGAGAAAGTCAACATGCCTGTCAGCATGTTGTTGATTATGATGTTGCGAATATTATTTGTTTCTTCTGCTTCAATCATTCTTCACTACATGATGTTGATTGTTACCGTCTCCAAGATTTTTTTTCAAAATTCTATACTGGTAAAGTAGATATTTATATTTTATAGAATTACTCTTAAGATGAATAGTTTGAACATTCCGATAATCAACAGTGACTCTAACAACTAAAATATTATAACTCTGATCGATAATCGTTAATGATATAATATGATTTTTTGGGGGGCAGGCAACAACAAAGATTAATGTGGCTGTCGACAGGCTGCCACAGTTCCAGTATTGCAAAGACAGCAACCCTGAAGGTGGTCCAGAGCACATGGGCACCATACACATTGGGTCCGAAAGGTATATAACTAAACTGACATATTTTTCATATTCAGTTGTCTTTGATCTTTATTTGCGGTTACTGGATAAACAAATAAGGTGTCAGATACTATTTATTATCACATTTATCCTTTTTGTTAATGTATTGCACATCTTCCCCCAGAGCCAGCTTTTTTTAATGTATTGCACAGCCTGTGCTTATCAACATGAGTAGGACAAGGGAAATGATCTCTTAACTCAAGAATGTTATTACTCGATAATAAGTTGTGCTGTTCTGAAACAGTGCCCTGCACTAATTATCCTGACTTTATTTACAAAATTTGTTACCTATATGTATAAATTGATGTAACCGCACTCATGTTATATGAGGCCAGCCTATAGTTAGATATTCATTCCTCATTCTTTTCTCATAAGGAAAGCCAGATGATCTGGCCTCTCATGTGATTGTGTGAAAACTATTTATTTGAGAAGAGAAATAGTATCACCTTGACCGAGTTATTCCACACTTAATGTCTTCTAATATGGAAATTCTGCTTTCTTCCAGCATGGAGGAAATTGACCTTGCATATAGGGAAGCAGCAGGTGGCATCTCATCCAAAAGACCTGTTATAGAAATGACAATTCCTTCTGTCTTGGATAAGGCCATCTCTCCACCAGGTATGCATGTTTCTTGTTCCCTCATCATTGCAGTGGCATTAGGCAAAATATATACTGCAAACTATCTACTAAGACATATCTCACTATCCCAAAATCCCAATAGAGCAAGAAATTATATGGGGGCATGCGTCTTTAAACTGTCATACGATCTTACCGCTACTCTTTGTGTCCAAGGCAATTTCGTTCCTACTCTGACATCTTTTCCATCTTTTGCTTTATCCTTTCGATAGGTCAGCATGTTATTAATCTTTTTGTTCAGTAGACACCCTACAAACTTTCAGAAGGCAGTTGGCAGGATTCTAATGTCAGAGTATGTTGATCTTACTCACACTTTGATCTCGCTATACATTCTGTGTTCACGTTTGCACATGCGGATGGCTCACAAATATTGTTAGCCATTGCTGCTAACACCATCTGTGGATAGACTTATTTGCTGGATTTACCGTCAGGCATCAGTAACCATTTTGATGGGAACTAATTTTCAGAAAGCCTTTGCTGAGCGATGCTTTTCTTTAATTGATGAATATGCACCGGGCTTTAGCTCATCGGTGGTAGGTTATGATATGCTGACTCCACCTGATCTTGAAATAGAGTTTGGTCTAACAGGTAAGCTCTTTCCCATAGTATACACAGCCTTCTTCTGCATGTCATCTAAACTTGATCCTTTCTGTTTTAATTTACTGTATCAATAGAAGACTTGGCGCTAGTAAAACATGATTCACATTTCACAGGGGGAAACATTTTCCACGGTGCAATGGGCTTAGATTCTCTTTTCCTCATGAGGCCTGCCAAGGGATGGTAATAGTTGTCTATTGCATTGATCCTTTTTCTCCTTGTCAATCTTTGAAGCTTCAGTGTCAGAATCCGTGGCTTTGGGATCATGACTAACCTGTTTGCACTTTGGAGCATGCAGGTCAGATTACAGAACTCCTGTGAAGGGGCTGTACCTCTGCGGGAGCGGCGCACACCCAGGTGGTGGGGTGATGGGTGCGCCAGGACGCAACGCCGCCTCCATTGTTTTGGAGGACCTGATGAAGGCAAAATAGATGTAGCTCGCTGGAAACGGAGATGGCATTTTCATCATCAGGAGGAGAAAAAAGAAAAGCCTGCAACAAACACATCATTCATTTGTTATGGTGCAATTTTAGTGCCATTCATTCATCGAAACTGAGTTTTGGCTGCGCAAGTTCCTTTTTTTTGGAGAGTTATTGCCGCAATCCATAGTGGGACCCGGCGCTGGATCCAAACTCTCAGCGAGACTGATCATGTGAAGACTCGTGAAACATTTTGGTCCGTATCCGGCGTGAAATTAGAATTGTGGTAAAATGTGGAGCCACCTCTTTGGACCACGGCCTATGGGCTTATTTTGTGATGAAACAACCAGTCACGGCTCATTGGACATGGGCCATCCTAAGACAAATGAACAAGCTGAGCTATTGTCCTCATCATAATTAGGTGATTAAGCCCATGCATATGCCAGAATCATGGCCTGTGGACTGCTCGAGTTGCTAGTTTCTAGTACTACCCTCTAAAAAATAATCTACTTTATAAAAAAGTACCTTTCAAGCGGGCAGGACACATCCGTCAGTGAGCATAGAGATACTAACGGCGTGGCGTTGACAGATCAACTAACGGCATCCAACCAGCGAACAACAAGCGTGGCAGCGAAGCAGATGGTCGAGACGTTGACATTGAACGGGTCTCTCTCGCCTGCTCTCGAAGGCTCCAGTATCATATGCACTAGTTTTTCGGGCGCGCCCATGCGCGCGGTCCACTGGCCACATGTATTTTTTTGGAGAATCAAAAGATATAATTAAAGTTGGGCTGTATTTTAATTTGAGAAAAATCTGAGGATGTTTTCGCAAAAAACGGTGAGAGTGTCTGGGGAGCGCGAGTTGATTTTCGATAAAGTGGAGGTCTTTTTTGCAAACAAACCAGTGCCCATCCGGTCTGGACTGAGCGTTGATTTGGAAATAATACGAGACGTTTTTTATAAAAATTTCTAAGAGGACGTCTGAAGCGCGGGTTGATTTCCAAAAACTTAAAAGAGTTTTTCGTAAAACGATCGCGGCTCGTCCGATCTGAACCGTCCGCCCGACCGATCGAACGGTGACGAAAAGCCGACGACGTGGCCACCCTGAGACCACGCCGTGGCCACACCAAATCATATCTATAGATTGAACGGTCTCTCTCGGCTGGCGGCACCCGGAAATTGCGTGGCGGAGCGGAGCGGAGCCGGGCTGGTCTCACACGGCACGAAACCGTCACGGCACACGGCACCAGGATTTCCTTCCCCTCCCCTGCCCTTCTCCTCATAAATAGCCACCCCTTCCTCCGCCTCTTCACCAAAATCTTCATCTCCTGTGTTGTTCGGCGCACACAGCCCCGATCCCAATCCCTCTTCTCGCGAGCCTCGTCGATCACCCCTTCCCTCGCTTCAAGGTACGGCGATCATCCTCCCGCTTTCGCTTTCCCGTCTCTTGGTATACGATTTATTATGGGTTATATGGGGGCTTTGAGTCATCGATCTGGCGATTTATTATGGGTGCTCTGAGTCCACGATCTGGCAACTGTGGGATGGCGTAGGCGGCTCGGAGATGGGTCGGGTCTTTGTGATGATTTCTTCGGCTCGTTGTTTAGGGTTGGATCTGCTCGTGGTTTTCTTCTAATTAAATCCCTGATGCAGAATGATGCATTGCTCGTCCTATTAGATTAGATGGAACCAGTAGGGTGACTCTTATTTATTTATCCTTGATCTGGTTTGATGTTCCTAGCTAGGCCTGTGCGGTCTGGTTCGTCAGATCAGTTTTGTTGTTTTTGATCTGGTTGTGAAGCCCGTCCAGATCATAGTAGAATAGAGAATGGTTATACGGAGTATGAACTAGCTGCTGTCTCATTAAACTTTGATCTGCCTGTGTTAACATATATATGTTAATAGAATTAATATGAGCTAGTATGAACTAGCTGCTTGTCTTATTTAATTTGGATCTGCATGTGTTAACATATAGTTTTCATAAATAATCAATATGATGGATGAATATGTGCTTCAGATATATGCAGTTTTCTTCTGAGGCTGTAGCTTTTGTCTGATTATAAAGTGCATCATGCTTATTCGTTAAACTCTGGGGCTGTCTTAATAAGAATTCATGTTTGCCTGATGTTGGAGAAAACGTGCATTGACCTGTTGTTTTGTTCGATATATGCATGCTTAGCTATTACTTGATGAGCATGCATTGTCCTGTTTTGTTTGATATGCATGCTTTGAAAGATTAAGATATATGCATCTACTGTTCGATTCGATAATTGTTTAGCATCTACCTGGTGAGCATGCATGCTCTGTTACTCATCTTTATTATGTACTTGGATGGTGGCATGCTGCTACTGTTCCTTGATTCTGTGCCACCTACATGTTGAGCATGCATATATGTTTATCATTGCTTCTTTTCCTTCTTGGTGTACTACTATATGCTTACCCTTTTGTTTGGTTTCTCTGCAGATGCAGATCTTTGTGAAGACCTCACCGCAAGACTATCACCCTTGAGGTGGAGTCTTCCGACACCATTGATAACGCCAAGGCCAAGATCCAGGACAAGGAGGGCATCCCCCAGACCAGCAGCGGCTCATCTTCGCCGGCAAGCAGCTCGAGGACGGGCGCACGCTTGCCGACTACAACATCCAGAAGGAGAGCACCTCCACCTTGTGCTCCGCCTCAGGGGAGGCATGCAGATCTTTGTGAAGACCCTGACCGGCAAGACTATTACCCTTGAGGTCGAGTCTTCTGATACCATTGATAATGTCAAGGCTAAGATCCAGGACAAGGAGGGCATCCCTCCGGACCAGCAGCGGCTCATCTTTGCTGGCAAGCAGCTCGAGGATGGGAGGACCCTTGCTGATTACAACATCCAGAAGGAGAGCACCCTCCACTTGGTGCTGCGCCTCAGGGGAGGCATGCAGATCTTCGTGAAGACCCTTACTGGCAAGACGATCACCCTTGAGGTGGAGTCCTCGGACACCATCGACAATGTCAAGGCCAAGATCCAGGACAAGGAGGGCATCCCACCGGACCAGCAGCGTCTGATCTTTGCCGGCAAGCAGCTGGAGGATGGCCGCACCCTTGCAGATTACAACATCCAGAAGGAGAGCACCCTCCACCTGGTGCTGCGCCTCAGGGGAGGAATGCAGATCTTCGTGAAGACATTGACAGGCAAGACCATCACCTTGGAGGTTGAGAGCTCCGACACCATTGACAACGTGAAGGCCAAGATCCAGGATAAGGAGGGCATTCCCCCAGACCAGCAGCGTCTGATCTTCGCTGGCAAGCAGCTGGAGGATGGCCGGACCCTTGCGGACTACAACATCCAGAAGGAGAGCACCCTCCACCTGGTCCTCCGCCTGAGGGGTGGTATGCAGATCTTTGTGAAGACCTTGACTGGCAAGACCATAACCCTGGAGGTTGAGAGCTCTGACACCATCGACAACGTGAAGGCTAAGATCCAGGACAAGGAGGGGATCCCCCCAGACCAGCAGCGTCTGATCTTCGCCGGCAAGCAGCTGGAGGATGGCCGCACCCTAGCAGACTACAACATCCAGAAAGAGAGCACACTCCACCTGGTGCTCCGTCTTCGCGGTGGTCAGTAAGCCATCAGTCGTTGAAGCTGCTGCTGTACCTGGGTCGCCTAGTGCCTCTTGTTTCTGCCATGGATTGTCTTTGAAGTATTTGTATGATCTGTGTCGTGACTGAGTTTGTTTCATGGACTGGTTGTGTTCCGTCTTCTACCCAAAACTATTGTACGGCAGCATATGGCTTAATCATGAATAAATGTGATGTTTGGATTTAAAATATGTGCTGAATATTGTTGTTTTTTGTTATGTCAGTTCATGTTATTAAATTGGTTAGTGTTTGTCGCACGTTCTGTTTACTTCAGATTCTGGCAGTCTCGAGACTGGTTAAAACTTACTGCCTGAAAATAATGCAGTTCTTTATTTTCATTTGAATTTTTGAGACTGGTTAAAACTTACTACCTAAAAAGAATGCAGTTCTTGATTTTCATTTGAAGTTTGATTAGAGATAGCGGACCATCAGGTTAATTGTGCATAGAATCATAAATATTAATCATATTTTCTATGAATTTAGTCAGACTTAAAGAAAATTTGATTAATACAAAATTTTCTGTCTTATTGATATACGTGTTTGATTGTCTGATTACATGTTTGATTATTTGGTTTGTTATTACTGTTTTACTAGGTTCAGATCGCTATTTCTTGGTGAATCTATATAGGCTCGTGCAGAACCTTATTTTTTTTGTGTGTTCCCTCGTTTTGTTCCTGACGAGTAAATTTTCTGAAGGCTTACAAGTGGCTTGCTTTTCTGCATGTCCAATTTTTTGCTTGGCCATTGCAAAACAAACAACTTACCTAACTTGTGATCTCTTGTGATCAAATTAGTATACTGGATACTGATAGAAGTATGACCCTTGATTAAAGAAATTTCACGATTAAAACTGATGGATGGATGTTATTGGCCTGGAAACAGCTGCTTGCTGATTGATCAAGCTTTGTTTGATTTGTTAAATATCAGTATTATCACAATGTGTTCAGAGAAATTAAATTCTTCATATCCTTTAGTTCGTATTGTACTGATCACTATTGAGAGCAAGTTCTGATAATGTCAATTAATATTGCTTTGGCTTTTGAGTTTCGTTAGGCTAGTGTTCATGGAACCTGCAGGTTCCGGTTGTTTCCAGTTTCTTGTTGGATGTTCACTCTGTATTGACTAAATGTTAGCTAGAGTATTCAGATTCCAATTGTCGGAATAATAATTATAAATGTTCCAATGTGGGCACATTACAATGTGGGTTGTAGATTAACATGTTTGGTTAGATTCAGTTCTTTTTGAATCAAGGAGATGAAGGTCATGGACTCATGTTTTACTGTAGCACCACATTGTCAAATCATTGACTAATTAGGTTTAAAAAATTCGTCTCGTAAATTAGTCGTAATCTGTGCAATTAGTTATTTTTTAGTCTATATTTAATACTCCATTCACGTGTCAAATATCCGATGGAATATGGACTAACCTTTAGGGGGAGGAACTAAACACGGCCTTAGCCCAATTTTGGGCCTTCTTGAGTAGCAAATGTCTTTAGATTTCTGGATTTACTTATCTTTAGCCCTCCTGTTTGGATCCTCGTGGAAAAAAATAGGCTAAAAGGGTAGGACTAAAGTTTTGCCATTGGATCAAACAGGACCTGTTGGACATGGGACTCGAAAAAATAATCTACTCTATATTTAATTGCATTAAAATCTGTCCAGCAACACCCTTTGCAAAACAAAATTCTAAAAGAGCAAGCCTGCAAACAATCCACCATGAAGAGCGCATTACTGTCTAACATGTCAGCTTCTTTCAAGATGAGTACACGCTTTTGGAAAAAAAAAAATAACGAGGTCCAACTATGCATAGAAATGATAGAGAAATAAAATGTAGGGAAAAAAATCCATGGCACTCGTATAAATTTTTTAAGGCAGCAAAGAGGCTCTCAGAGTTGGAAAAATGAACCACTCGCCAGAAAGGAAACTGACGCTGAAACGCATCCGTAGCCATAAAACTGCTTCATGCAGCTAAGTGAGAGGAACATTGTCTATAGGTTCTATCCAAAACGCATCATATCTCTATCTAATAATTCAAAGCTGAAAGCTCTGTTAACCTTGATGACCATCACACTAATACTGTGCGTGTACTTGTTTATCAGAAGGAACGGTGAGTGGGTAACCCCTTTGTGATTTCTTTTGTGACCAGTTGGTGATGGTACCAAGAAGATGTGGTTAGAAATTTCAGCTAGTGTCCTTCGCATTTTGGTTGTATACACAACATCACGCACTTTGTGACCATTGGCTAACTTTTGTTTAGTTCAACGGTCCCGGCCGGCCTTCCGGGCACCTAATACACTGATCAATCTATTGCAGCCAACGTCAAAAGAAATGCATTTGCATTGTAGTTGTCTGTCCCAATCAATCCACTAGCAGACTCGCATTATTGATGGAGGAAATGAAATTCAGCCTTTGACGTGGATGCAACAACTGCACTGCACAGGATATCTTAGCCGTCGTGTCGAAGTTTGCTTTGCTAACGTTTTGAGAAAACCAGCTTTGACCAACACGAGACGAGCGCCTTACGTTTGGCATAATGTAATGTAGCCCGGCACGGCAAGTTAGACTCTAGTATTGTGTTAGCCGGCCTCTTTACGTTTGGCACAGTTTAATTGAATCCGGCATGGCAAGTTAGACTGGAGTGTGAGCCGGTCATTGCAAAGTTATTATGACATATATATAAGAGCACAAGTGTATAATAAGATAATGTAAGCAAGGCAGCAAGCTATATGAATTGTCACGTTATATTTATGTTGAGATGAAGAAGAGAAAATAAACAGCCTATAAATTCATAGCGAGTGATAGACGGGCACAAGGCCTCCTATTTCTTAAACCGAATTTTGTAAGAACAAAAAAAAGGACTTATAGGAGAATGGGATAGACCATATATGAACAAGAAAGGTACACGTTGCTCGAGTGTTTTAGGCGCTCCGCTCACTCGATCCTGTAGCTGTCCAATCTGCGGCGTCAACACGGCGCACAACAAGCGGTCGCGGGCCCCTCAGTGGTCGCGATCAGACCTATATATGGTCATGCAGCCCAAGCCCGTCGGCCCGGCTCAAGGCCCGTTTTTTTGGCCCGGCCCGGCGGCGAGCGGGCCCGGGCTGGCACGGCTCGGAGGAGCAGGCCGTGCCTGGGCCTTACCCCAGGCATGTGGGCCGGCACGACACGGCCCGCTCCTCAACGGCAGGCCCGCTGGCGGCCTGGCCTACCACCGGCCGGCCCCCTCCCCGCAGGTCGCAGGCCCGCAACCCGCAGCCCCGCGCCCCCTCTCTAGTATATAAGCGGGGAGCGTCGGCTGAGCCGCTCACCCGCTCCCAACCCTAACCCTAATCCCCACTCTCTCTCGCTCGCAGCGGCGCATCTCTGCTCTCTCGCCCGCATCGGCCGCATCCACGATCCACCAGTGGTGAATCTGAGCTCTCTCTTGTCCGTCGTCCCCGACTCTGGTGACCTAGATCTGCCTGTCCGACCCTGTCTCCACTCTCCTCCCTTCTCCCTCTCTCCTCTCGACCTCTTGCTCTCGGTGAACTATGTGAGTTCGTGACCGTGTTCCCATCCGTCCCTCCTCCGCTGTTCGCCGTCGTTTCTAATCGGTCTCTCCTCTGGGTGGCCCTCGTCATCTCCGGCACCGGGCTTCGGTTGCGCAGGTAGACCACAAACCCTAACCCTAACCCTAACCCTAGATCTGTCTTCTTGTGTCTCTGAGACTAAGTGACTGACCCTGGATCTGGATCTCTATCTCTCTGTTTTTCTCCTCCGCGCAGGTTGGTTGTCGATGCCTCATCCTCTTCCTATGGCATAGACTGGGCACGGCGGCCGCACGCACCGTTAAGGAACGGTACTGGAGATAGGAGAAAGAAGGGAACAACATGTTGTTGACAACCAAGAGCTGAAAGACTCATTCAAGAACTTGTACCTTGATGAAGATGAAGCTGCTGGTGGTGCTCCTGGTACTTAGTGAGGTTGAGACTTGACTCTTGAGAGTGTGAGTGTGATCTGTGACTGTGAAAGAGTGAGTGTATGTGAGTGTGGGACTAGGACAATGAGTGTGAGAGTGTGATCTGTGAGAGTGTCTGTTTCTGTGTATGTGAGTGTGGGACTGAGACAATGAGTGTGAGTGTGATCTGTGCTGTGAGAGAGTGAGAGTGTATGTGAGTGTGAGTGTGGGACTGAGATAGTGAGTGTGAGAGTGTCAGAGTGATATGTGAGAGTGAGAGACTGAGAGTGTATGTGACTTTGAGTGTGGGATTGAGACAGTGAGTGAGAGTGTGAGAGAGTGTCTCTGAGACTTGTCTATGATTTGAACAATGGTTTGTAAGACTTAATTAAGAGTTGGCTGCACTCTTTTTTCCTTTCTAGGGTTTCTCACAAGGGTGAGTTTTACCTAGAAAGGTTTTTAATGAGGCAGCATTGCACTAAACAGCTTATTTTGGTTATTTCTGTTATCTGTTGGCTTTCGAGTTTGATATCTCTGTTGGACTGTGAATGTATTGGACTTTGATTCTGTATCTGTATGATTCTATGAATGAAATGAAAGTATGAAACTGTGAATGTATTGGACTTTGATTCTGTTTGATTCTGTGAATGCAAGGGTAACGGACTGTGGGCTGGCACGGCCCGTAATTCTAGTCGTGCTTAACAGGCCGGCACGGCACGAAAAATGGCCCATAGTGCCGTGCCTGGGCCGAAGGCCAGGCCCGTGGCCCTAAGAGGCACGGCCCGAGAGGCTCGGCGTGTTGTGACGGCCCGACCCCCATCGGGTCGTGCTTTCACGGGCCCATGCCGTGCCGTGCCGGGCCGGCCCGTTGGCCATCTATACCCAAACCCGCGCACCAGCAGTGCAGTCGTCCCCTGATGTAGTTGATGTCACCTTGATGGTGCCTGCCAAGGCCACGGCCGCTCTTGTATCCCAACATTTCATCATTTGCCACACCGCTATGTTCTCCAAAAGGGACGGCGGCGTCAAAGTGCCTTCCACCGAGGTAAGT